GGACCCCGCAATATTTAAAAGGAAAACGGTTACCTGTGATATTTGGATGAAAGGACCCCACACTTCTTATGGGATTTTGGTTGAACGCGGAATTTAACCAAATTTTGGTATGTTGTATATTTCGACCTGCTGAGTAAAAGTTCTCATGGGTACAAACCGATCCTATGACTAGTTTCGGATATACAGGGGGTTTTCTAATACTACCTTAGGCAACCTAAGTACCTATATAAAGTGTACATAAAGCAAAAAAACTTGCATGTTTTGCTTTAAAAGTTGTTTATTTCATCTTTCCTTAACTAAAAATGTTTAGTAGGTGTTCGTAACTCTTCCTTTATATACCAGGGGCGCTCAAAAACTATGGCTATTACTAAGCTAAATAAGTTAATGACCAAAAATTTTCAAAATTGTGAAAAATTGTGTACTTGTAGGTACTCAGGTACCTACGTTTTGTGATAAAAGTGACTTTCTATCTCAATGAATTCCAGTTCTCGCTACGCTTGTGCTAAAAACTTTTTGCCTCATGATCCCTTGGCCTAGGGTTTAAGTGTTTAGTTATTAGGTATACATACACTTGGTGATTTGTTTGAAAAATCTAAACAACCATGGAAAGAAAAGCAATGAAAATTGTTTTTTCATATGTCATATTTCACTTGGTAACCATGGAAACCAAAACAGTGACCCTGTCAATAAAGCGAATTGTCTTTTTTGTCACCTTTCTTGTGAAAATGGCAATTCGGTGTGCTACGTGTGCAATGAAGGACTAGAGTAAGAGTAAATCGCACTGTTTTATTACTGAAAGATGCCGAAGTCCGTAGATTGGCTGTCAAGCGTCGAAACGAGTTAGGATTTGAGGATGAAAATTTTATTGTTGAGAACTCAAGGTGGATTTTGACATTGAAAACTTTGAAACATAAACAATAACGCTTGGCCCTGCTTGGTCAGAAAATGAGGTGTCCCTGCAGGTTGTAATCAGTTTTACAATTCATGAGGTGCAAATTGCATCTTGCGACTAATAAGCGGCATTGTTTATGTTTCAAAGTTGACAGTGTCAAGTCAAAATCTATCTTGGGAAAAAATACAGTATATAGTTTGTCATAATTCTATTTGTGTTTGTTTTAAAAACACACAAAGGCCCACCAAACAAGTACTTTTCAAAATACCCTCGTACATTCACATATATAGGCACCTAACTAAAAACATGCACCTTTCTGTAAAAAATCTAAACTTAATCAACATTTTTTAAAGCTACCTACCACAAATAAACGCAAAAAGCATGAAAATTCAGTATTTTCAGGTTGCCTGACGTAGTATTAGAAAAACCCCCGTATATCAGAAACTAGTCATAGGATCGGTTTGTACCCATGAGAACTTTTACTCAGGAGGTCGAAATATACAACATACCAAAATTTGGTTAAATTCCGCGTTCAACCAAAATCCCATAAGAAGTGTGCGGGGTCCTTTAAATATGTTATTGGGGATGCCGTAAGCCACCAAGGTGAATTGAAAATTGTAATTCTGAGTTCAAAAATTGAAAAAAAAAAGAAACAGAACTGTCAAAACCTGTCATTTGTTTCATCGTGAATAAGCATCACTTACGTATATTGGAACAGAACTAGATTTGAGTCTTTTTTCAATCAAAGCTCTTGTCAGATTCTGAGAGCTGTCAAAATTTGATGTCTATGAGCTTTGTTTAATGATTTATCACCAATAAACTACCTTGAAACGAAAAAGATTGTAATATTTTTTCTACTAAAACAAATGAAAAGGTTTTGACACTCCTGGACCTCTATTCTCGATACTGGGTAACAGCCTTCTCATGAGAAAGATTAGGCTGTCTTCGTTCTCTTGAGAACGCTACTCGCCTGTTCCGAGTATAAGCACCCTGTAATTTTTTTTCTATTTTTAAAACTCAGAATTTACCAGAGATATGGGAGAGTTGTTGGTTAGAATAGAATAAGTGTCCATCCTGCGCAACTGGCGGAATTTGAAGGACCGCCATTTTTTTATCACTTGTCAAATTCGGGTGTTGGAAAAATAGGTTATGAACAACGCATAACTTCAAAAATGTCCAAAAACAAGCAAAAATAACAAAAAGAAATCTTTTAAAACACCACTCTAATAAAAATATCTCAGAGAAAGCAGGAAAAATCGCCAACAACAACAATCTGTAACCGACCAAAAGTAAGGTTATGTTGTGAAAAATCTGTCGGATTGAAGTTGTCAACGTAAAATCTAGTATAGCGTATTCTATTGGTAGAACCAGTGCAGAAAAAATGTAGTTTTATCTCTTTTTTCATACAACCTAGTAGAAAAAGACACGAATACACTTATACTCCCAATAGTAAAAAGTGATAAAAATGGTGGCACCCTATGCGTTACCATCTTTGAATATAAAACTACAGGAAGGAGCATAACCTCGAATCTGCGCGACTAGAATATGTGGAGGTTGCATATAACCGACTAGTTTTTCCGGTTTGGCAGTGACGTATATTTATTCAAATATGATTTTCAATATTATGACTCACTCTTTTCGCATTAATCCCAGTGCTTATCACTTAAAACCGCTAAAGTCCATTAAACATCCACTTGAATGAGGACACAACGAACCACCAAAACAAATGATGAGTCCATACTTGGAGGCTCAATATGGCCGTTTCCGTTCCTGCGTTGTCTGTACTGACAGATAAAAAACGCTCCTTCCTGTAGTTTTATATTCAAAGGTTACCATAAAATCGGATGCGCAGTCATCTAAGCGCATTCTATTTCTCTTTCACATATCTCTGGAATTCACCTAAATTGAAAATGTCAACTGACACATCATGAAATATTAAAAACTGGAAAATATGAGTGCTGCCCTTTGACAGATGGTTGACATTTTTCGATTTATTTTGGTCGACTTTCTAGAAATCGATATTAACTTCATCAAAAACTGCCATAGTTACTCTGCTCCTGAATATTAGATTCCAATATTCGACAGCTGACACCGTCTCACCTGTCATATATACAAGATTGCGCCCCAGTTTAAAAATGTTGCTTACGGCATCCCCAATAACATATTCAAGTTTCGTCGAAATATCACGGGTAACCAAATTCCATTCAAATATTGAGGGGTTATAGGGATTATTATAATGCCATAGTTTTTTTTTTATATCCAAACTTAGGTAGACTGACAATATAACTGGAGTTTTCCTGAGAATGGTCTAATTTAAATGGAAACAATTTACATTATATTTTCTTTGACTGATGCACCAGCCTAATTCTAGGCACTCCTCAAACAGTGCCGAAATATTATTCCAGTGCAAATCTCTCAATATAAGAAATCCAATTGTGCAATTTATTTTCCTACAATTTCTCCTCCTTAATTTTTATTAAGAAAAAGACAAACTTTATGTTCCGGAAAATATATTCAGAAGTAAAAAAAGGTAAGCCCGATTTTGAAATTATGTAAATATGTAATATACATCTTTTTTTAAATTGCAAATCTCAGTCGTGCAATTTGTTTTTTTTTTTGTTTGTCTCAACGTAAGTTATTTCGAGTGAAGGACAAAATAGAGATTATTTTTTAGATATGACTATAGGTGCAGGGCCGGATTGTGCAGCCTACTTTGCGGGAAAACAAAATCAAAGTAGATACTACCATACTACTCTACTCCTTTACTTCTAATATGTAGGTACTTCTTTCATGGCTTTTGGTAGTATATTTTGGTTTTGTTTTGTACCATAGTTCCTTTTGAATTCTTGTATTTGTATCTTGATATTACTTTATTGTTTTATCTTTTGAACGTTTTCAGTCTAGATTTCATTTATTCTTTTTTCGTTATTTGTATTGTATGTACATCTATTTCTATGCTAGACCTCATCATCCAGTGATCATGTTATTATTATTATTATCATTATTTTGTGATGACATAGTAAAGTCAATGTCAGTTTTGATTGAACCTTCTGGTGACATCCACGTCTTTTTTTTCGTTCTTTTTGTTTTTAAAGAAAGTGTTCATCATATACCTACTAGTTATACTAACTTCACTGAAGCTAATCAGGATTTCTCTTCCATTTCGTTGAAATATTCCAAAATGTCATACGGATCTTTGAGCATACTCTCTATTTCGTACCTTCGCATTCAGACTTCCGAATAATATGTAATTGTTTTTTTTTTCTAGATTCCAAAATATCATACGGATCTTTCAGAATGCTCCCTATTCCGTACCTTCGCATTCAGACTTCCAATTATTATGTAATTATGTTTTTTTTTTTCTTGATTCTATCGGTTTTAATTTCTCCGTAAAATGTTTTGATGGTGTCCTCTTTACTATCTGATGTTAGTGGGTATAATTGTATTAGATTTAGTTTCTATTTTGTAGGTATGCTAGCCTTTTCCTTTCTTATCTTACCTCTTTGTATTTTGTGTATGAGAAAACCTACACTTGTGATATTCTTGGCGTTTCTCGTAATCAATCTTGTACAAGATTTTTCTTTACTTTTCATTTCGCTAACCCCTGATGTCCCACTTTTTTTGTTTACCTCGGCTGCCAATTCCTGTAGATGCTCGTCTGTTGCAAGTGTCTGTGAGTTATCTACTGTGGTAACCTTTCCTTTTCTGCGAATTCTGCGCACTTTCTGATTTTCTTCGATGCGTTGTGTTGTTGAGCGTTTCCTGGACATGCATGAAATAAAAATCGCTATTAGCAGGCGATTCTTTGCAGGAGTTGTAAAACACCATAAACTGGTCATTAATCAATTATTGTGAATGGAACAGGTCTGACAATGAATTAGTACAAGACCAAGTGAACGACTACGAACCTATGTTCTGTTATAGATGATATTATGATAAATAATATGATGACTTAAATACTGTGAATTGAGCAAGTCATGTCCATGGAGAAATAAATATAAGATATTAATATTTGCGAGACGACGTCGTTTCTCAGAGCGGTGGAAGAAACGCATCGGAACGACATTTTGAAGCAGAGTAAGAATATATACAGTAAAAAATACAAACAATAACAATAATACGTATATTTTGTGCAATATAAAACTTAGAATATAGCAAAAATATAAAACATAATTAGAAACAACAACTATTCACTATAAAACAGCAAGAAGCGTTTGTTGAGCGGTATTCATGACCATAGCGTCTGCATACTTATCTAATAATACTTCAGTATTCTTTATTGGAATTGAAATGCTCACATCACTTAACAACTTCATAGTCCACGTCACTACAGTGAAGGTAACTGCGTTCACTGGAAATGCCCTTATCAGGGTTGGAGATAAGCCTCGGAATAAGCAGGACACTCCGTCTGATTTAACACTTTGTACCAAACAATCGTAGGAGCTTGCGTAATTCCAATTCAATTGGAATCTGGATTTCAGGACATCTATTGGATAGACAATAGTCCAAGAAACAACACCTATAATTATAATTGGAATTTAAAAATATTAAATCAAAAATGGGCTTGAGTTCTTACCTGCAAAACCACCTCCTACAAGCATACTTAAAGTTGATACCTGTAAGTTGTCACTTCTTCTAGTTAAAAGTTCATAGGTGAAAAAATACGCTGCGAACGATGGTACTTCTCTTAAAATTGTTAAATTTAACCCTCTAAATACTCCTTTCAGTCCCCTATCATTATAAATTGTTTTGAGACAGTTTAGAGGGCTTTTACTTGTCGTATTACCAACCTAATATGATATTTAATTTAATAAAAAACTATATGTTATTTAAGATAAGAAATCATACCTGCATTGTTGATTTTGCCAATTCCATGGGACTGCAAATGAAACTTTGTACAAATCCAGCAGCTGCACCAGCAAGAGCATGGCTTCTAAGAGACTCTGGATTTTTCATGCACCTCTGAGTATTGCCATATATACCAAAAACTATGGCATTTATGCCTGCCACGCCTAAAAAATGTTTTTATTATTATTTAAATATTTTTTTGGTAATTGATTGTGGTACCCAATAATGGACTGGTGACTCCCCTGTAGACTCCTTTAGCACCTTGTTTGGCGAAAATTGATTTTAGGCAATGAAAAGTACCATTGTACTTTAGATTTCTTGAATCTTGTGTTTGAAGAAATACTTTTGCGGTATCAAGAGGATGGCCGACAATTACACCGGCACAACCTAAAAAATAAATTAATATAATTACATTTATTCTGAAAATGAACTGAGCAGCAAAAAGAAGGAAAACACGTCAATGTCAATTTTGTGACAGAAGCTTACGAACGAAAAAACCCAAACATCTTTCAAATTTCGTTGGTGAGGAGTAAAAATCGAGATCAAAATGTTAATTAAACATCCTGGAGGAAAAAAAAATATTATCGATCATTTTCAAGGTGCTATATTACTCCTGATAATTTGGTAATTTGAATATAATATTTTTATTTGAAAATGCGGAAGTTCTTAGGTCAAGGTGCCACAGAATTACCGCCACCAATAGATTTTTATTTTACTCACTATACCCTATATGTATGTAAAGCTTTTGAGCCCCTCTGACGTTTAAGTTCATGCAGTTAGGAAATGTTTTCTTTTAAATTAACATTTAATTAAAGTCACTGCAAATTAGGCTCACATTTCTTGGATATTTTCTATAATCGTCTCGGGCAATCAAGAGAAGTTTTATTTACTTATAAATAATTATTAAGTAGCAGAAGAGCAGCGAAAAAAATTATCACTGGAGTGCAAAAAGTTCAAAGATAGGGATTTCTTAGATCAAAAAAGCTTAAAATAGAGTAATCTTCCTCTGATTTTTTTCGCATATCAATCGGTTAATTGAATTTTGAGTTATTTCGAATTACTTTTAGCTTAGTAAGAAATGAATGAATCGAAAAACGTTTAGGTATAACGAGTTTTTTACCTCCAAGACATCCGGCAGCAAAATCAAGAGCCATTGCCTGGACTTTCGATGTGGTAGACGTCGACAAAGGTGATTACTTTTAAAGTTATGGAGTTAAATCTTTCGACAACTTGTATGTTTGACAAAATGTTCTGGTTGGAATATGGTAACAACGATAATGGCTCCATGTACTGTATTAGATTCCTCTGAAATGAGAAAAAATGTTTCTGAAACTACTGTTTGAAAGAACGCAAAAATATCAAAAAATTATTCAATAGGTAACCAAAATCTATACACTATTAGCAAAATTGAGTAGGTATCTAAACAGCATTGAGAGGTTTAGAAAACACACATGTAACAACAGGTCTTCAAAAAAAAAAAGCAATCCAAGATTGCTATGGTTTTTTAAACGTATGTCAATATTTTTCTTTAATTTTGTCAATGAACTTTAATGTCAAAATGTCATGTTTAAAATCCTGACCAATAAAGAAACAATAATGCGAGGTACGTTTTCGTAATCAAAGTCCACTTTGATTTTTTTTTGAAGACCCGTTATTATACCTATACACCAAGGTACATTTTATTTTTCAGATTTTGGTGACTTGCTAAAATTATATCTAATTTTGCTGCCATAGATAAAATATAAAAAAAATATAGAATAATAAAATTATTTAACAAAATAAATATGGAAGAAAAAAATATTGTTATTATCATTACTGTCAACGCTTTTTGATAAATATGGCTAATGGTTACTCAATTAATAAAATGCGATAAGTAATTAATAATTATGTATGGAAACAACGTCAATAACATCAGCAAAAGTCCCAATTTATAAATTTTTCCGTCTTTATGATCTGCAAAAATTTCCATTATGATGTTTATGATTTAATTGTACCTATCAGACGCACAAAATATTTTGGACCGAGGAAAAAATATTAATGGACAGGGAATATTTCCTAAACGAAAGTTCGTAAGTCCTACCTGTAAGAAGTCATTTATTGCTTGAAAAAGCAAAACATAAAAATACAAAACAAACTTGAAGTTGCAACAAATTCTAATAAGTAATACAATTATCAGAGATCACTTACCGTATATTGAAAAAATTATTTCCGGAATAAAAATCCCATTAAAAAAAATTATCATGTAATTTAAAATTTAAAAAAAAAATAATACAAAAGTTTTGAAACGTTTAATTCCCGAATTAATTGTTGAGTACTGATAATAATGTTGACGGTAAGAAAAAACTTCCTAAACTGAAGCTTATTATTATAAGTATAAAATGTTTAAACAGTTCTTATCGTCCCAGGGGTCAATTTTATTGACACTCTTTTATAGTTATTTCGCAATAAACTTTTAATAATAATTATTATCAAACATAAGGCGCTCATTAAATTTTTTAATGTCGCTACAAAAGAATATCGATGCAAAATAGTTTGCCTGTCTAACTATGATAGTGTAACGTTTAACTGGAAAACAAAAATAAAAATGTATTAGGCAATGAATGAATTTTATAACAAAGTTTTGATGAGGTCAAAATATTTTGGTAGAAAAATGTTACCTTATCACAGTTACAAAAGCGGTTGACGTTTTAGTTTCATAGACGAGCTGTAAGATTTCGCCGACTGAAGAAGCGTTTATTTTTTCATATACCTAGAATTATTAAAAGATGGAACTTTGTCCAATTATGACAATAGAAATGCTATGGAAAAAAATAAGTATTATCGATAAAGAAATGGGATAAAAATCTGTATTTCCATAGCTATTTGCGTTGCAGCTGTCTAATGCATGGAAAAACGACCCCAGCTCGACTGTAAAAGCATTAAGGAACCAATGGTGAATAACAAAATGAAACGAAATGCAGCAACTAGCTGAATCCAACAGAACCAGGGCGTACTTTTAGACTACTAAGATGATATACGATGGACCAACCACTCAAGGACTCAATCCCTTACGATCCAAAGATGACACACTCGGAAACCGACAATGCTGAAACGAGTACCACCAACTTTTTTCAGAGATTTCTATCATATCGAGACATTGCATTTCCAGTGACTAGACGACCAACGAAAAACACTCAGGAACCCGGAGCTGAGTGGTTTGGAGAGGAACTACAGATCCTGCGACATCAGCTAAACACATTAAATGAAATGTGTCCAGAAACTGACTGTCCTGTGCTGCGGACAGAGAGAAACGCACTGAGAAACAGGTACCGAAATGAAATAGAAAACTCTAAAAAACAAGCAAATTCAAATTATATCCTTAACTCTGATAACATAGTAAAAGCATCATGGAATCTAATAAGAAAATATATGCCAAACAGTACTTCTAAATCAAATGCAAATATAAACCCAAATGAATGTAATGATTACTTTGCTGACATAGCTGAAAACCTCATTCATAATCTACCAGCAGCCGAAACATCGCCAGTTCTGTATACGCAGCACAGTAACCTGGGAGACCCAAACCTGCACTTTTCTTTCCACAGTGTAAGCCCATTCGAAGTCCTTCAGGCTTTAAATAACTTAAAAAAAAAAGCACAGCAAGGACTTCTATGACCTTAGTGTAGCGCTAATACAGGCACTTGGTAGGATTCTCTGTTATCCGCTTGCAAAACTTTTCAATAAATGTATCCAAGAAGGTGTTTACCCTGAAGAGCTCAAAATTAGTAAAACTGTACCAATCTTTAAAAGTGGAGAAAAAACATCACCATCAAATTACAGACCAATTTCTTTGATCCCTGTCTTCTCCAAGGTCCTTGAGCTTCTCTTGAAGGACCAACTTTACATGTACTTTGAGGGAAACAACTTATTCATAGAGGAGCAGTTTGGGTGTAGAAAGGGCAGAACCACCACTGGGGCAATACTAAAGCTCTGTGATTTCATAGTTGGGGGCTTTGAGGAGGGGCAGATTGTGTCCACCACCTTCTGTGACCTCTTCACAGCCTTCGACTGTATATCACACGACATTCTAATAGAAAAATTAAAATACTACAGGTTCTGTGAATTCAGCGTGAGACTGATATTTGGGTACCTCTCGAGACGTAGGCAGATCACGGAGATGGAGGGTAGGCGCTCAGAGGAGAGAGTCAGGAGGCACGGCGTGGTTCAGGGATCGGTACTGGGCCCACTGTTGTTCCTTATATACATAAATGACCTTGCAGCTACCCTATCCGGATGCCAGGTTGTTATCTACGCGGACGATAATGGACTCTCCTTAAAAGCCAAAACACTGGACGTTGCCAAAATGGAGATGACGAGACATGTCGAAACTGCTGTTGACTGGTTCAACTCCAATCTACTGAATGTCAACCAAAGTAAAATAGAAAACATGCTCTTCTCTCTCAAGAAAACTACAATTCAAGACAACCCAGAAAAAATCAAATTTTTAGGAGTTACATTGGACGCGAAGCTGACTTTTGAGCAGCATGTCAACATTATTTCAAGAAAACTTTGCTCCGCAATCAATGTTTTTCGTAATGTATCGAAAATTCTAGACAATGAAACATCAAAAATGGCATATTATGGTCTATTTCATTCAGTGAGCGTCTATGAACTCCTAGCATGGGGACACTCATGTCATGCCTCTCGCATCTTCGGTTTGTAGAGAAGAGGAGTTAGAATTGTAGCCAGCATCAAATACCGAGATGATGTCAAACCATCCTTTAGGGACCTAAAAATATTAACTCTTCCAGCACAATATATCCTAGAGTCTCTACTATATTTTCATAACAACTCTTCAAACTACACTCGTGCCGAAGAGGTCCATAATTACAATACTCGCCAACGTTATAAAGTGCAGATTGACTTGTCATGCTTAAAAACCTTCTGGAGTGCAACGCGATATTATGCAGCGGCATTTTTCACTCAACTGCCCCCTACAATACGAAACATTCCAATAAAACCATTTAAAAATAAAATCAAGTAATTCTTGTTAAGTAAGTGCTTTTATTCAATAGAAGAATTTTTGCAATATCAGGTCACAGATTTGGATTTTTAACTAGTGTTAGAATAGTCTTAGCCATAGTTACTTAGTACTGTCCTTTTATAAAGAATGTTTGGAAAATTTTGTGTGATATAGTATTTTAATAATTGTAATTGTAAATGACTGTAACCTAGATTTAAGATTTTGAGAACGCTATGAAACTCTGTTTCAAGTCTGAAATATATACAACCTATATACAACATATACAACCTGTTTATAAGGCGATTGGAACTGAACACGCCGAGGCCTTAATTGGTTTCCATGCGTTCACAGGAACCGCTATAACTGGACAATTTTTTAGAAAAAGCAAAGATGCATGTTGTAAATTGTTTCTCAACACAGAAGACAAGCCGATTCTCAGAGCATTTGCCCAACTCGGAAGTACCATTTCTTCTGATGAACATTATAAATCATTAGAAAAATTTGTTTGTCTAATTTACAAGTCGAAAAGCATGTGTACTGTGGCAGACCTACGTTGGAACTTATACTCCATCAAAAACCAACACGGCGAAAATCTTCCTCCAACGCCAGATACACTTAGACTGCATATTTTAAGGTAAACATATTCACAAAAGTTTTATTTATACATTATACGTATATACTTAGATTTGTGTGTTCACTTTTTAGAGCAAGATTTGTTGCCAGTGTTTGGCAAAAAAGTGTCGAATGTATTCCAGAATTACCCAATCCTGAAAACCATGGCTAGAAGCTTACAGATGGAATATATCAGGTTATACCCTTAACGAATGGTCCAGACCCAGAGTCTATTATTTACTTAATTAAATGTAGCTGCAATAGAAGGCTATAGTGGTAACTGCAGCTGTGGGAAAAATGTATTACCTTGTTCCGAGTCTTGCTTATGTTCGGAGCTTGAGTGTACCAATAATGAAGCAAACAGTCTGGACAATAATTTGGATATTTCATGAATTTCAGATAGCGAATAATCTTTGCATCTTTGTATCAATATTATGTATGAATATTTACAGAAAATTTGACTGAGTTTCTTCATCTAGGTTGTCATTACTTTTTAGGTCCTACGAAATGCTACCCTTGGCCACCACAAGTAAGTTCAGTCACTTGGTAGTTCGGCGGGGAAAAAAATAAAGAAGTTTTTTTCTCATTTGTTTTTTATATTTTCTGGGGTTCTGAATCCAAATTTCAACTTTGCCACCTCGAAAAAGTGATGCGTTCCGAGAAAACTGCGAAAAATCGCGAAAAAAATGCACCTTTTTCGTTTTTTTGCCATAACTCGGAAAATATGCTTGTTTGAAGAAAAGTATATCAGCACAAAAATAAATTACACTAAATTTCCTACAAATTATGTTTGCTAGGCTTTTCTATCAGACAAACGGTTTCGCCGCTAGAGCGCCTTGAAATTTGACCAAATTTCCATAGTTGGCTTAAAAACCGAAACTTTCCAACTTTTTCGCTTATTACTCGGCAAATAGGCATTTTCGAAATAAACTGTCCCTATACAAAAAAAGGATAGGCTATTATTTCAATAATTCCTCAATTCCTACCGCAAAATTACCATAGGGACAAAACAGTCGAAAGTTGAAAGTATTTCTGTTATCTGATAGCAGGTCAGGTGGCTGCTGTTCCCCCACTTTTTCTCCCCGTCGGACCAATCGCTCGTCCTCATGATAGGACTCAGTACACCTTCCAACGTGTACATCCTGAAGCCAGGGAAAGGAAAAGTCGGTCCAACTTTATTCCATCCGCCCAGTGTAGTTGACCAAGCTGTTCCTGAACACATCTTATTTTTACACGCAATTAGTGGCTGTGACACTACGTCAGCACTTTACAATCAGGGTAAAGCCAAATTTATTAAAACACGCGTGAAGAACCCTGACCTGGGACCCAAAACCAAGATATTTACAAGTAAGAAAAACTGTAAAGGTAATTGTGGTTGCAAGAGGGCTGGACTTTTTTGCTCCAAATTATGTGAGCACTATGATGGCGCCTGCGACAACACAGATAAATATGACGCTGATGAAGACGACGATTTTGACGATCCGGATGATCCGACTCCGATCCTTTCAATGGCTTCTAAGTTGCAAGGTATTGCCTTTATTTTACTTACATACTGAAAAACGAACTGTCCATTCTTATGTATGTCATTCCTTACTGCCATGATCCTCTTTCAACTTTCAGATGTAAAGCCTGGATCATCCTCTGCTGATAAAACTCTAACCCAAGCTATGACTGTTGAATCACAAGGTATTTTCATTACTGCATACGTCATATATATTAAAAAATGTAAACACTCCTCTCTCTATCAACTTTCAGATGAGCTGCCTGAATCATCCTGTGCTGATAAAACATCAACACAAGCTATGACTGCTAAACCACAAGGTATTTTCTTCTCTGCATATATCATATATATTGAAAAATAAAAATATTCCTTCGTGCAAGTATCATTTTTCTCTTCTCTTTTACAGAAGAGCAGCCAATTGTCAAGCGTCGTAGGCGACAGTGAATACAACATACCCAAATTAACAGTTACATATATTATTATCCATTTTAATGTGTATGTTCATTTACTATAATATTTTATCAAATGTTTGGTAAACTATGGAAATGTGGTTTACTTTAAAGGCGCTCTAGCGGTGAAACCGTCTGCCTGATACAAAAAACCTAGGAAACATAATTTGCAGAAAATTTAGTGTAGTATATTTTTGTACAGTAACACTTTTTCTCAAAAGATTATATTTTCCGAGTTATGGCAAAAAGAACAAAAAAAGTGCTTTTTTTTCGCGATTTTTTGCAGTTTTCTCGGAATGCATCACTTTTTCGTGGTGGCAAAGTTGAAATTCGGGTTCAGCACCCCAAAAAACATAAACAACAAATGAGAAAAAAACTTCTATATTTTTTTCCTGGATTGGCCTCTTCTTATACCCAAGTTACTGTACTAAGATTGCTCCAAAATAAACATAGACAAATTTGCAGGGTATCAAAAGATGGTCTAAACAATAAACATTTCATGTAAAGAATCCAGAAGTAGCATTTTTTTTTTGGAATTCCCATTAAGAAACATATCTTCTCTAACTCGCTGATTCTAAGGGACACCCTGTATAAAATATTCTTATGTAAAAGATTGCTCTAGGTATATTTGGCATACTCTATTCACTATTTTCGTGAGAAAATCGGTTTTTAAGGAATTTGCTTATATGCTTATCTTGGAACACCCTGTAGCTACTTTTACTACTGATTTTTTTACTAAAACTTTACTGTTATAAATTTCAAGACTTTTTTTCATAAAACTTAGGTAGTTATGTAATTTTTAATGCCAATTAAAATATTTATCAAATTCCTTATCATTTTCGAAACCTGTCAAGTTCACCAGTTTTTAACCCCCTGTAAAATTATACAAACGATTTTTGAGAGTGCCAACAAGTCAATATGGTTTAATATAGTGCTTTACTACACACTAAAACTTATTACACAATTTTAGCACGACTTAATAACGAAAAGACATATTAGATCCTACTATAAGCTTCACCCCCTCGCTCCTCATACGGAAGGTGTCAGAACAAAAACGACGGATAATACCTACCAAAACATAATGTGTTTATTTTCTTATTTATTATAGCATTAATTATTATTACCGATAATATATTATTATTCTTTTGTAGATACCACGGACTACAAGTTAAAATAACTTCGATTAATTACCGTTACTAAATATTTCCTTTAGTGTTGAGGGTGACCCATTCATCAACAATAATAATAAATGATAACGAACCAACTACGTTTTACTATACATATATGCACATTATTATCACGTGCTTTATAAAAATCATCCTTTATGGTTTTGATTTTTTGAACTTTTGTGCAATTTGGAACTGGATTTTACTGGTAGTTCCATATCGCAAAAAAAAAAATTGAAGATTAGGCTGCGAATTTTTTTTAATCTATGTATTAGCAGTCAACGGTTAATAAAACGGTTTACTGTATAAAGTTCTGTGAGAATTCTTATATTTAACATGATTGTATATTAAATGTTAAGTTCAATAAATAGAAGTGTTTTCTAGCTTCTCATTGTAGCTATATTGTTTTTTACTTATTTCGCACTTCTATTGCCATTTCTTTTTTCATTAAAAACTGAGGTACCTATATTTTCATACTTTCAGGAATCAGAGGGCTGGAACTCTGTAACAGATAGAGATCGTTATCCCTATCGCTATGGCACTTGCTGTCTTCTTCTCTCTTATCGAAATCAATAGAGAGGGGACGCCACTAGAGATAGAGATATTTATCGCTATCCGTTACAGAGTTCCTACCCTGGAGACATCGGAGGAGAGAGCCTGTTGAATGTCGTGTTTCTGATTGGTCAATTTTTGTGAAACCTGGTACATACATATTTAAGAAGAAAAAAAACTCTGGTTATCTAAGGTTTGCTTATTCAAGTATTTATTAGTTTTGTAAAAGTTTTGTCTTTCTTGTGTGCAAGGCGTGAAAATAAATGCACTGGCATTTAGGCAATTAATGCTTGCTTACTAATTGCTAGTGAATTAATTTTCACATTTTTCGCAGATGAAGATAAAATTAAGAGAAAAAAACACGATTCAGGGATCCAAAGAAAAACTAACCCCACACCCCAAATCCAAGAATCGGGAACCGAACATGTTTTCATGTATGCAGTATTTGACGATAAAGAAAAATTATCATTTTCAGTGCGAGACGTATTTTCTCGCGTTTTTAGGGCATACGGACTCTACTCCTTTTCAATTAACCCTGTCCTCACTCCGTCATTTTCCGAGTTCAGCTATCTGACGGTTCTTTTTTGTTTTACCACAAGAAAATCGATCTTTTGGTTTATTTTTCCAATTTTCCTTTTCTCGTATCTCTAAAGGTAGGTATACAAAATTACTGCTGGGAAATTCATTATAATATAGGTAATTATAGTAATTAGATAATGCAATTATTCAATTACCTATTGAAGCCACCTTTAGTGAGTTTTGGGAATATTGAAGTAATGGAAAGAGTTGTGAACAATCACCTAACCAAGTACTTGGAAAAGTACAAAATTATCAACGATAAGCAATACGGATTTCGAAAATATAGGTCAACTGGCGATTTACTTACATACGTCACCCACTTATGGCAAAAAGCGATTGAGTTGCGGGGTGAAACAAGAACAATTGCCTTAGATATATCTAAAGCATTCGACAAAGTTTGGCATGAAAATCTGCTCAGCAAGCTCAAAGCAATGGGATTATCGCCGAAACTTTGCACTTGGTTTGAAAGTTACCTAAAGGACAGATCCATTTATGTTGCACTGGATGGCCAGAACTCCAACTCTTACCAAATAAATGCTGGCGTGCCACAGGGAGCAATCCTTTCGCCAACCCTTTTTCTGATTTACATAAATGACCTCATAGATGAAACAGTAAATCCACTTTATTGCTTTGCAGACGATGGCAATGTAGTCTCCTCACTCATACCACCCACAGGTCTTTCCGCACGTGAATTCCATCATCTTAGACTAACTCAAATATGGCAGATAAATAACGACCTGGAGATAATAGAGGACTGGGGTAACAAAAACCTTGTACAGTTCAACGCGCAGAAAACCCAAGCAGCTCGGTTTTCAAAAAAGACCAGCACCGGTAAGCCAAACATCATGCTATCTGGAAGTGCTGTCACATTACAGAGTCAGTTGAACATCTTGGGGGTTACTGCAGAGACCAACATGTCTTGGCACAGTCACGTGGCAGATATTGCTAAAAGGGCGTCCCAAAAGCTGAGGGTGCTATTTCGTACAAGACATCTGTACACACCAAGCCAATTGCTGACACTCTACAAAGCCCAGATTCGACCAACTATGGAGTACTGCTCACATATATGGAGTGCAGCACCCAAACATACCTTAATGCTTTTGAACACCGTGCAAAAACGAGCTATCAAGCTGATCAATGACCCCGCACTTACTCGTAACTTGGATGGTCTCGAACATCGCAGATCTGTGGGCGATTTATCTCTCTTCTACAGGTACTATCACGGAAAATGCTCTGAAGAGTTGGCACGTATGATTCCACCGAGAGTAGCACCTACCAGGCGAACCCGTCAAACAGACGGTAACCATGAATTTACTGTCAAACTAGAGGTACCAAGAACCTCATTATATCAGAATTCATATCTCTGGAGAACAGCATCGCTGTGGAATAAACTCCCTGCGACGGTTTTCCCTGCAGGTTACAACCTGAACCGTTTCAAGACCAACATACACCGACATTTCCGCGCACTTGCCGCTTCTCGAGCGTGATAGGACATTTCCTTGCGAGTGCGCATATATCCATAAACAAAAAAAAAATATTGTATGGATAGGTACTGCATATTGGTAAAAAAATTAATATATTTCGGGCATGCATCTATCTTATTCTTATGGTTATGGTTATATCAAAGCGGGAATCTCGAATGTAATTATTTTAGTTTTTGCTTTGTTTATACCTTTGTTACCAATACATTTAATTATTATTCGGTTTCAACTTGTTGCTCCTTATAGATTTTTTTTTGTGTTCTTTTCTGTCCTATTTTTGGTTGAATTCTCTTGATACCTAGCGACATCTAATTTTCCAAATCCATTCATAAAATGAATAAGTTACAGTGAACTGTAGGTAGTAAGCTTAGAGTTATAAAATCTCAAATTTATTTCAGGCCATCGATCGACGCCTCCGTGTAAAGATGCCCGACGCCGACGCTTTGGCATCGCGACGCCTGGAATAATCCATAAATATTGTTTTCCTCGTCCATCTCTGTTTATTTTTAAGAATTCAACAAAGACAAAAGTTGCCAAAAACATTTCACAGCAAAATTATAACCTAGTCGGCATTGGAAATAAATTTTAATAAATATGAGTGCTCGTTTAGTTTGAAACAATCGGTGAGTCAACAAAACAATTAGAATGATTTTTACTATAGTGCCCAGACATTTTTATTTAAAACATCTCGTGTAGTCAAGTTTATTTTTAGTGTGACCGAAATGTGTTGATATTGTTTAATTATGATGTGGAAAGTATAAGGTACCTAGCCTGAAATATTTTGAATAACCATATCTACTAATAGATTGGAATTTCTAAATTTGGTGAGTAAAGTTGTTGCAATTAGATGTGTCATTCCAAGTGTTTTGGGAGTAATACTTTAGTAGCCAGAGTGCTACTGACTACTTCGAGCAATTAGGTAGGTACCTACCTACATCCTATCTTCAAGTGCAAAATTAAATTTCACTTCTTCTAGGATCTGGAAAAATTATAAACAAAATTGCTAGTTAAATAGGATATTTCAACAGAGTTGGTCAACATTTAAAAATAATAATAGTCTAAGAGCCAGCGCCGAAAAAATTCTCTGAATTTACTAAAGCTAGTTTTTGGACAGTTGATTACAGTATTTACGTACCTAAACATACCGCGGTCAGTCAAGCGAAACTTGAGACAAGGACTCAGGGTGTCTTGTTAAAGGTGTCGAGATAACTTGGGTAATGCAACGAATTTACTCAAGCTGAAAATCGCCCCAAGAAATGTAAAAATCCACAAGAAATCATATTACTGAACAAACCTATTAATTTATACTTCAACCTACAATTTTGAATTGTCACTGTCACGCTGTCACTCTAAAAAAAAATAGATCTATTATTTTTTTTACAAAAATTGGGGCTGAACTACCTCAATGGGGCTGACTGACCAGCCCATTTCCGCTATTCAACTGACTGACAAACATCACTGTTAGTTATGTGTAATATATAATATGTGTAATATATAATATGTGTAGGTAACGATTTTCAGCCTTAGTAAATTCGTTGTTATTACCTAAGTTATCTCGACAACTTTAACAAGACACCCTAGGTCCTTATCCCAATTTTCGCTTGACTGATATGATATGTTTATGTACGTAAATACTGTAATCAACTGTCCAAAAACTGGCTTTAGTAAATTCAGTGAATTTTTTCGGCGCTGGCTCTCCGTCTATAATTAGGCATGGTCTATGCAGACATAGTTACAAATAATAAACTTTAAATAAAAAGGGCGTCATGTAATACGTTATAAAGAAAGTATCCATGAAATCTCAGCCATAAAACTCGAATCGCGGTTAGGTCTACTACTACCGGCCAGATAAATCCATCTACGAGTAGCTTTCCAAGAGTGCATTATTGGAAAAAGTATGGATGCACTAAGGGAAGACCTAGGGGATGACCCAGGAAGATTCTGGGAGTACTTTAAGAGATTGCTGAAGTGTGATTTCTCCCAATTTTTGATTAATTCTAGTCTTTATACCAGGCTGTTTGTGCCACTTTGGAAATATATAGCTATAAATGTTATCTGCCACTAAAATCAATACGAACAGCCATGTAGAGACTACAATTAAAAATTGGCAAAAATCACGATAATTTTTAATAGTTTATAATAAACCAGTCGTGAAATGATTTAGGAGTATCTGGTTGGTAGTCAATGGAAAGCCTAACCGGGACTCGATACTTTTACGACTGTAATAACTCATTTCGAAAGTGGTTTTAAAATGGCCTTCTCAGCCCAAATGACAGCTCGTCAAAGCTTTGAATATTTTGAATCTTAAGGTCTAATTCATTGGAAATGTACTCGGATGTCTATACTATATCAGAGTTAGAGTAAGTTCTTACTTACTTGCCGAAACTGTGACTACTGAACTTATGAGAGCCCTCTTTGGACGAGGAGAACTTATAATCACTATCCAGCATATCTATACCTATACTTCAACTCCATATTTATATCTAAATTATTTGATAGAAAATTGAAGAGTCAAATAAGCTCTATCCTACGCACTATTTCCAAAATTACCCTCAGTAACTAATTTTTTCACATGCGCAATTAACATTTTTTCAAAATAAGTCATCTGCGTAATTCTTCTGCGAATAGAAGTAAAACTTAAGCTTCATTTGAAATATGTATTACAAATCTCTAACAAACTTTTATTTGGACTTATTATATATCTGTGTCTTTCATACCTACAGCTATGTCTATGTACAGAGTGTTTCAAATTTAAGACACATCATTGGGATCTCGGAAACGGTGAGAGATTAGGGGTTGATTAAATTAGAACAAAGTTGCGTAATTTGATGCTTAACAAAATGCCGCTTTGATATTTAGGATATTCCGAATACTTCCGGAAAAAGCGGAAATTTTGCAAAACTGTCTTTACTTTTTCTTGACTTCATTAGTCATAGTTTATAGTGATATTTCAAAAAAATATATCACTTCATCATAGCCGCTTTTTTTCCCCTACAAGATGCTACCTTCAAATTTAAAATCTGACGTTTCGTCTCTTTCATCATCAACTTTATTTTTTCAAAGGACCCTGGATTTTTTATTTCAGATTTTAAGAGTTTCTGATGTCCAAAAACCTATGACGTATCGTATTTATTCGAAAAAAGATTTTTTTTTACTTTTTAGTTGTTTCCTCCCAAAATTCTCTTCTCTGTCTCTCTCTAACACATTTACATAGTTCTTATGAGAAGTGCCAATAATATAAATTTTTGTGCAATACGTCATTGGTTTAGGGACATCAGAAGCTTATAAAATCTAAAATAAAAAATATGGGTGCCTATTTAAACAGATAAAGTTGATGATGGTGACCCAAAGAAGAAACGTCAGATTTTAAATTTGGTGCCAGCATCTTATAGGGGAGAAAAAGTGGATATGATGAAGTGACATTTTTTTTATAAATATCACTTTAAATAAAGACAAGAATAAATTAAAACTATTTTGCAAAACTTCGGTTCTTTCCGAGATCCCAATGATGTGGTTCGAATTTGAAACTGTACTCTCTACTCTTTGTTTTCGATACCTATTCCGTCAAGAAGGGCAATAAATTACTTACATATGAATATAAATTCCTATTTGCCACAGCATGAGCCATTATAAACAGTACTTACATGATTTATTTTACCTCTAATAATGTAATTTCATTCTTGTATCAACTTTGTCAGGAATTCTGCCCATCAATTTGTTTGCATGACTGTCTTTTCACTCGTAAAACAACAACTAAAAAGACGGACACTTTTTAACTTATAGTTATACTTATAAAAAAATATTGTTGATAGAGAGGACCTCAAAATGACCGAATAATATTTGTATCCGAAAACAAGCAATAATAAATATAATAAAAATAGTTTATAAAATCAACATTACATATAAATAATTTATATTTTTATTTTCAAAAACAATTAGCAATAACGATAAGTTTTCAATATTAAGATTACTTCTTTCTCTCTAAATAATGGACTTTTCTTATCAAAGTCGTCGTTTGATTCACGATATCAAAATGGCGAGGAAAATATTTCTTCAGAGTCATGATTTCGGTAAAATTCAACAATTCAATAGTTTGTCTACCTCAAGCATTTTTATAGCTACAAATTTGGAAATATACCACATCTGATAAAGATGTTCAATATTCTTGACAATACTCATGACACAATGAAAATCTTTTAGTTTTCAAAAATTTAATTAGTGTGCCATCAGGCTGATTGAGCACTTTGATATGACCCAAAGGTGCGACAAAATTGGTGGCTTAAATACTAGATTTATACCATAGATGGCGACGCAGTCATTAGTCTATCACCTTTGTAACTTTAGAAATTCGCATAATTTGATAGAGCAATTAAAAATACAAATTTCTGCACCCTTCTTTTTGAAAAAATAAGAGTTCTTTTTGAGTAAATAAATGAGAAAGATTACTCTGTATACTATTTCATTTACCTACGCCTGATTTAAAGAATAAATATAGTGCGAGTAGTAGATATGATGTCAATTCACAGGTTTGAATTATTGCTGTCACTGCGTTCGTGCCAAATTAGATTTATGTTTCTCGCACACTGTTTATTTTTTACATCAGGCATAAATGAAATCCGAATGGAGATTGAATAAAAATACGCATTTCATGCCTAATACGTCACAAGTGGCAATGTGACAGTGTTGTCTTATTGTCAGCATTGAAAATTTATAAATGATTTGATTCTAAAAAGTTGGCAAAATACCAAGAGAAATAGTTAGATTAATTACTTAGGAATTCAAGTTTTTTTTTTGAATTATCATCATACACAATTCATCTTTATTTTTTATGTTTTAAATTTTTTCCTCACGACGCACTACATTTAGTCACAACTGGCAACAGCGCAATCAAAACTTTTACCAGCGGCAACCGGAACAGCTATTTCTGCTTAGTCGCTGGAGCACACTTTTAAAATTTAATTGGTGTGATGGCTATACGTCATCGTCTGGCGCGTTTCAAATTTTGTAACACAGGCCAAAATTAACATTGCTAGGAGCAGCTCATCATTATAGGACAGATGTAGAAGCCAGCCTAAGCTTCTCCTCAGGCGAATGAAGCCTCTATGCCATCAGATTCAGGAAAAAACAACATGCTTGTTTCCTATTTCTGGACACTGTTTACTAGATATGATTCCCTCCTTGACTTGCATACTTCCTTAAAAGTGTTTTTTTCTATCATCGATTCGCTCTCAATGAATGAGAACATATCACTGATGAAAAACGGATTTTTTCAGGTTCAAAAAATTGTTCTTGATATGGAGGGATACCTAAGTGTGGACCCTAACGCCGGAACGTCCTCGCATTTAAGCTCTTTTAACACAGACAACGCCGATTCCACATCGATATGTCCTCTAATAACACCTTCACCGCCCACCAATGCTCTAGTCGATTCAGTGCCAGAGCCGATAGAACCCATTTATCAGATTGGTGAAGCGTTAGCTGAGAAATTGCAGAAAGTCCATGGTAAATATCAAAATATTTTTTTCCAATTCTTTTAATTTTTGCTTTATTTTAGATACCGACAAATGTGACGTAGATTCTATGTCCTCTGCATCTTCATCCGAACAACCAGCATCGACTCAACTTCTTGATGGAACTAGCTTCCTCAATATGCCTGCCGATGAAGAAGCAGGCACAGAGGTATTTTTTTATCAATAATTCTTCCAACATTCGAAATAATAATCTTTATTACAGGGCGGCAAAATAACTCCCCTGGAGCTCACATTCCGCAACCCTACAGAGGACTACTTCTTCATGTCCTGGAACTGGCCGGTTATTCGTAAAATATCCCTTTACATTTATATTTCTGTTTTAATTGGAATGGTAGCTTTAGTAGTGAGTCTTATAGCAACTTTACCAAAAACTTGCAACCCTCCTACAGAATGGTACCAAGGCAATTTATTTTATGAAATTTTTCCTGCAAGTTTCTACAGACCTAATCAAACCAGGGAAGGAAATCTTGAAGGTGTCTCTGTGAAAGCTGACTATTTGATGAAGCTTGGTGTTAGAGGTGTAAGATTAAATTCTATATTTACTTCACCACATTATCCGATAGATTATGAAAATGCTTCCACATTAACTGAAATAGATTCCAAGCTCGGCACACTAGAAGACTTTAAAAATTTGGTTCGACATCTGAAGTCGAGAAATATGTCATTGATTCTAGATTTACCAGTTTCATCGTTTATCCAAAAAGCATCATTAATGAGAAAGCTTCCTATTACAATAACTAGAAATGCAACTGAAGAACCTAATGATTTTTTGAATATAAGTTATGATTTTGAACCAGTAGAAGAAGCCATGCAATATTGGCTATTACATGGTGTAGAAGGATTTTACCTAAAGGGCTTGGAAAGTCATGCAACAGATTTCTATACTGCAAGATTAATAAAAAGATGGAAAAAATTACTTGGACCTAATAGAATTTTGATAATTAGTGAAGAAGTAGTTAATCTAACTCCTAAAGAAAATTCGAATATTATTTTAAACCATGTCGATTTGGTGGATGTAAAGCTAAATATTGAAAAAGGAGTAGCTGAAATAATACAACAAATAGATGCTGTTCAAAATGGTTCACTATTTTCCAGACCTGGAACTCCTTGGGTGCACTGGTCAATAGGAAACGTTAATTCAAACCGACTGGCTAACATATTGCCTTTCGGAAATGCCACTCTTGGGGCAACTCTTCTTCAAATGATGTTACCTGGTACTCCATCTATTTTCTATGGAGATGAAATTGGTCTCAATCAAGTTCCAGATGATGACAGGAAGGATATCAAGCATCTTCGTCAACTTACGATGATGCCATGGCAAAATGAGCATATCGCCTGGAAAGTACATCCGTGGCTCTATGGTGGCGATACTGTAGCACATTTCACACAAATCGAAGCAATAATTCGAATGGTAGAATTAAGAAATCAATCCCCATCTATTTACATGAATGCAGTATACAAACAAGGCGTTAATAAAGCTAATGCAGAAGTCAAATATTCACAAGAAAACTTTTTGGTTGTTCAAAGATGGTACCCGAGAAGGAAATCGTATGTTGTAGCAAGTAATTTAGGCAGCACAAAAATATCAGCTGATTTGTCATTATTGTTATATTCAGGCCAAGTTATAGTAGGTCCTAGGATAGATTCGACCCCAGAAACTATTTCGTTCAAAGAAGTCAATTTGTGGCCAGGTGAATCGGTTGTTATTGTTTTAGATTAGATTTTTTACGCTCAACATATTAAGTAGATTAAGTAGGTTTGATTCAATTTTTATATACAGCGTGATTACAAAATAATCATCAGGAAATATAGGCTATTTTTTACCGACTAGGTACATACCTATTGATATAATAATTGCACGATACATCGAAAAAAAGGGAAACTTTCCAACTGTCAATTCATTTACTTGTGTTCACCTCAAGTGACACGTCCAGATCTCTACTAAGCATATCTATTCCTTAGGTTGGAGTATGTTTCCTGTCTGTGCCTATACCCCCTAATAGTAGGCTATTTTTCGGGACATAATTTTTCCAAATATGATAATCGATTATGTTGTGTAATTTGAGGATTACCCAACATAATCGAACGTAATCTTTAGGAAAATTATTTCGCGAAAAATAGCCTAGTTATTCATAAAATCTCAACCATAATAAAGCCAAAACCAAAATCATCAAACTACCGGCTGGATTCTCATAAATCCTTTCATAACTGGCTTTCCAAAGACTTTGGTTTTATGACTTAGATTTTATGGATAACCAGGAAAACTTCACTCTAACCATTGACCCGATAATTATTTCGCAATCACGATCTATTTTAAGTTTAATTGACAACTGAGACGTTTGGAAAATGATATAGGTATATTTTTTTAGAATATATGTTACAGCCAGCAGCTGTATTGTATAAGCAACATCTGAGCAACAATTTTTTTTTGACGCAGTAAAGTTTATTACAAAAAGTTCATCAGACTTTTTCTTTGTACATTGAACCATTTATTCAGGGTGTCTGAAAAATGGAAATCAAAGGATCACATAAATAGTTTATCAGAAGAACTCAATAGAGGCATAGATAGGTATGTTGCGTCAGCTCAAATATTTTTTGTATCTGAGAAGGTTTTTCTAGTTCTTCAGTCCCATCTAAAATACGCCTTATTATGCTGACGAGGGTCACTCATATAAATTGCCTGAGGGTTCTAGCTGGAGTGGGATATACTGATTGCTGTAGGAGTGCCCCACTTGGCATGCTTACATTTCCATCTGTTTATGTTATGAGGTATTTAATCTATAGCAAAAGGAACATAAATGAATACACCCATAATAGGAATGTTCACTATTTTTCAATTGCAATAAAAAGTGGTGGTTCTAGGTCCACAAAACACGTATTAGGCGGTAAAACATCTAGAAACCCTTTATTTTTTTCTGATAAATTGAAAATAAAAAAAATAAATTAGCGAGGCTAGCAAAACGACCCCCTGCAGCGCGAGTAGCGCTTGTGATGTCACTATGCGGAACGAACAATCAGCTGGCGCATTGGCGAGATTTGATAACAAGTTTACATTGAATTTATTGTGTTGCTGACTGTTACTTTATCCCAAGAAGCTTCATTCACTCTAATTATCTGTGTTTGTGTAATGATAGGAGACTCAAACAAAGTTAAACCGAGTCGAAAGAAGTGGTACCGGTACCTACGTGCGTGTTTTCCTAAGAGGTGCGGAAATGTGGTACTTTCCGCTCGCAAATCGGTGCGTGAAGACGCGTTTTCCACACGCTCGTAGGAAAAATGTGCCTAACACGTGTGTAAAGTATGTTGCATGAATTTTGCTGGCGCGTTGTTCGTGCAAATGCCGTTGCGCGTGCGGAAAAGTATAACTTTCCGCACTTGTTATAGGCAAATAACTATATATCACTATTCAAATTCAACTATGCCTACGTCTACTACGTCTGTTTTACTTTTACACCACTGGACTGGTGGACTGGGGCAGATTCGATTCAAGTCTTGACACTTGATCAAAAATTCTGATACCATAGTCATAGTAACGTGCACAGTTGGCAGATTATGTGATGTGAATAGGCCTTTGGAAAGCCTTCCTCCATTTTAGCCCTAGTAGTACATTTTCTTCCTTAATTTCGATAAACCCCAATACAGAGATCGACACGGAGGAGATAACAGCAATATCAAAATACTTGTTAAACGTTAAAAGACTTTCTCGTTAAATTAAAACCTAACCATAATAATAATATAAATGTGAATACTCTTTATTGCCAACAAAAATCGCAAAAGCAACGTCACAAAAGGCTGATCCAAGTATAGTTCGCCTTACGAGTCTAGCATTACGACGTCTGAAGGGCAAGGGGGAATAACGCCAATAATTTCGAGCTTTATGCTGCCTGTCATAGGCGTGCGCGCAGCGTTTTTAAATATTAATTTTTCCTAATAAATGTAGGTGTGTAACATAGATAAATATTAAGGTATTTTCTATTGGAAGTCAAATAGGCAATATTGCAATCTTTTTATCCGCATTCTTTCCATAGTGCTAGACTCGTAAGGCGAACTTTAGCTAGTAGCGCCACTGTCACTGTAGTTGCGCGCGCTAACTCGTTACGCATTGTGACGTCAGAGAGGGTTTCGTGCGTTTAAATGAATATTAATATTTCGTCTCCGTTTTTCTCAAAGAAAGAATTTGCTGATTTTCGTAAAATTTTTTAGATTCACTTATGAAATGATGCTTAATAATTTAATAATTGTTAAACGGGATTTTTTTATTTTGTGAACATTCCTATTCTGATCTACACACTGATATTATAACACTAATGGTTTCACTGAAAGATACAGCAGAACCTCAAGGGCAAGGGATGGACTGAATCATCATTGACTACCAGCTAGATGTTTTTATATACAGTGTCATTACTTAAGTGTGCAACATATGGGTTTTTTTTTAGTAATAGCACAATCAAAATACAAACAAGGCCAAAAGTTGGTGCATGTCTGATAATTATATTAGGTGCACTTAGAATGGTTGCAAGTCAAACAGCATACAGGGTGGCTCAAAAAATATCAAAATTCTACTAATATTTACTTAAATAAAATAAAACTTTTGCACTCTAAGGAGAGTTTTTTTAATATGGCTATTATCATTAGTAATGTTTTAGCTTGTTAAAAAAAAAAATTGCGACATTTTAAAGTTGTGTTGAATATCATTGCAACAAACATGAATTTTGTGATTCGCTAAAAAATTAAAAATCTAAGTTAATTTTACAAATATGCTTGAATTTGAACAAAGTTATTTAAAATTGATTTGATTTTAATTAATTTTTGAAAGTCTCAAGGGCGGAAATAAAAAATTAAAAAATATAGAAATTATAAATTTTTTTCAAAAGAAAATAAAAAAAAATCTTAGAAGGCTATGTTTTGGTATTTAGGCATAACTTTTAATTCCAAACAACTTTTCTTTATAACATTTTGCTGAATTTTTTAAACTAAGGGTACTTTACAGTACCAGCTTTGATATTGTTTGAGCTACCCTGTATGCTGTTTGACTTGCAACCATTCTAAGTGCACCTAATATGATTATCAGACATGCACCAACTTTTGGCCTTGTTTGTATTTGGGTTGTGCTATTACTAAAAAAAATCCCCATATGTTGCACACTTAAAAAATCACACTGTATAGTCTTTTCATAGACTTGTGTCAAAAGAAGCCAATATCCGCATGGTACTCATTTCTTCGAGCGATTGTCATGCCGCTTCAAGGTATTTCAGCCTGTAGGAAAACTGAGCGGGAGCGGGACATTCACAAAGCAGATGTTCTCCTGTTTCTGTTGCTTGTTCACAAAATCTGCAGTCATTCTCTGCTTTGCCTATCGTTTTTAGGTGATGTTCACTACTCATTCACTCCAATATTAATTAGCCTCAACGTCGATTTTCTTTTCCTCATTTAAAATTTTTTTGTAGATAATTGTATTTTTCAATTATAGATTGTGTTTTTTTTTTTTTTGAAGAGTAAGATTGCTGTGTATGTGGCATATACTATCGAAGGCCAAGTTTTTTTTATCCTGAAGAAAGTAGGTATAAACAAAATAATGAAACAACAGATAGGAAGGGTTTTTATTCACTTTATTAAAAATATCAGCACCATCTATGACCATCATACACTTGATTGAAGCTTCCAGAAATTTTGTTACAAGAAATAAATTAACAAATTATTAATTATTAACCAATAAGTTATAAAAAAAAAATTGAGCAAGTGTATACATTATTGCTAATATTACTTACTTCTTTATGATCCCATACAATAATACTTCTATCTACATTTTTCGGGGTAAGGGTAAGCTTAACAGTCAGTATATAACAAATAAAATAAAATAATTATAATTCCAAATCAATGAGTTTATATTATGTAAATAATTTTTCCATTTATAAAATTAATCTGAATTAGGGAAAATAATAGGTCGACTGTGTTAGCTTACCCTAAAACAAGGGTTCTGCATTACAACAATTTCAAAAGAACACATGTTTTTCCCGGAAAAATTTGAGTTTGCAAATGATGGCACCCTGAGTGTGAAAAAATAATTTTAGATCATGATTTATAAACTAGTACTGGAAAGTGAAATATGTATAGGTGCAGTCTGCAAAAAATGGTCAGTTATCCTAAATTTTCTTAGATCCTTATCCTATTTTTGATTATAAGCCAGTTTGTTATAAAATAAAAATTATAAACTTTAATAAAAGTTATAAACAAAAACACTCTGATTGTGTCAGAGAATAGTGATCATTAATTATTATTAATGTTGAAACCTTAAAGGGCCAATATTAAACGTCGATTACCCTTTTCAGCCATTTCTTGCAGATAAAACTATTTTTTCGAGTAATCACGACTAAGATTGCATACTTTTATGTTTGGTCCTTGTTTCAGTCGTAACATAATTATTAGGTAAAGCCCTGGGAATTTCGGGTAATTTATCTCCAGGATGTCGATGACTGATTGTAGGCGGTTTTTTGCTGCTTTTTTGTATTTTAGTACTACTAAGACCGGACACTGGATATTTAACCCGCGCCGAGTTTCGCGTCTGTCGTGGTGGTGACGTTTCTTCCCCGGGGTGTTTAGGCATGACAAAAGCTTTCGTCTGCTTTATAAGCGACCGGTCATTGCATAACGCCGAAATCAACGGCAAGTCCATTTTTTTGCTTTTTTCCCGAAGCGTACGGATATCCAGTGCGGAAGCACGAGTTTCACTCGAACTGATTCCAGATTTGTCAAGAGTATCAAGATTACTTACACTACTTGTCACTTTAGGATCTAATAGGTTGTGCCTCTCCAATAATGCTCGGTTTTTTTCAGGAAGTGGTGGGGGTGGTGGTGGCATCCTTCGGAATTTTTGCGTAGGTGGTTGTTGAGGTGAAGCTTCCAAAGAGTTCAAAATATTATCATCAGATTGTGTTCTCAAGAATCTAGTTGGTCTATTTGGAGGTAAAGGTGGTGGTGGTGGATCCAAACTCCCTGTTGACGAAATGCTTGGTGCTCCATAGACAGGTAATTGCACATACGTATCCGATAAGTTTTGACTGGAAGAATACCGTCCCAAATAAGGTGTGCTGCGATAGAACACTGGCTGATGAGCTAAGGCTGCTAATATAGAACCTTGTTTGGCTTCAAGATACTCTTGCTTACTTATGGCAGGCTCTTTTAGAGGAAACACTACAAAATCCACATCACTATACATTTGTTGTTGATATTGCTCAATTTGTGATCTTGATAATTGACTGGTATAAACTGTTGCTAAGCCAGGAGGGGGTGGAGGGGGTGGTTGTCTTGGGGCTGGTTGAGGTGGAGGCGGAAGAAAGGCGCATGGCACCAAAACACTAGCTGTATTTGGTGTAGTCACATCTATAAAACCATTAGGATTAATCATTCCATTGCCACTAACACTAATGGGACGAGGACGTGGATTCTTGGGTGGTCTTGGTGGTAGAGAACCAGTCTTTGAAGCAGCAGAATAGCTAGGAGTTGAATTTACACTAACAACGCTAGCATGAGCAGTTAAAATATTTGGAGATCGTGTTGTTATAAACCTTGCAGGAGCTTCTTCAAACGGGTACACTGGCGGTGGAACAGGTGTAGGGTTATCCGGATACGGAGGGGGATCTTTCATTGAAATTTCCACAAAAGAACAAGCAATATCACAGTCATTTTCTGAATCTTTCATTTGAAGTGAATGTGGATATGGTGGTGGTGGTGGTCGAAATCTTGGTTCCACACTATCAACCCTCTTTGGAGGTACTGGAGCATAACTTTGATAACCGGAAGGTAGGGTAACATAGTCCGAATCAGAATCTAAAGTATTGCTAACGCTTTTACATGAAGGGTACCGTCCAACGATCAAATCTGATAATTCTTCTGCTGACAATAATGTCCGTTTATTATTAGTGGGATCACTTCCATCTCCGTGAAACGATAAGTTGCTCGCATTTGAATTAGCTCGATCTCTAAACGAACCATCGATTTGATCACTACTAAAAAGTGACTCATTGGTGGTGGCATATTCACTTGAAGTATTTGCATAATTTCCTGCTGAGCTCAAAGTGCAGTGGTCACTTGAAGTCAAGGTATAAACTCCGCTAGTTTGACTACTTGGAGCTGGACCAGAAGTATAAACAGGCTCTCTGGTGTCTGTTTCAATGCAAGTTGCGTCGCTTACTGCTGAATTTTGGGCTGTATGTGAATATCCTAGTTCTAGACTGCTGCTGGTAGATGGGCGTCGTCTTTTCGGTTCTGAAAAAATCCAATATTGTGAGACAAATTGAAAAAAAAAAAACAGTAAAAACTGCTTACTTGTTTGGCTAACTGGCGTCACAACAACAGTACTACAAGAGGAGCTGCATTGCGATCCAGCGCATTTGACGCTACTACTTGCGGTCTTTCCAGAGCTCTCACTTGTAGTCTGTTTTGGCACTTCCTCTTCTTCTTCTTTAAGTGAGAATGAAGCCAGCGCTGCCGTAGCTGAAGCTGCCGATGTCCGGCTACTGGGTGGAGCACTGTCCAGCAGGTGAGCCAGAGCTAGACTTTCGGTGCTTGGTGCTGGAGGACTAGTAATCATGATTTCCAATTCATCTTCTGAATGTACCTGAACCAGAAAATTATTATTATTTTTGTTTTTAAGAAAGTTTCAGCAGGTGATTTATTAGATAATCAGTACTCACCCGATCACTCACAATTCCCGATGTTGTGTTTGACGACGTTGAACTTATCACAGAAACACGTTGATCACATCCCCATCGTTGCCTGTCTTCTTCTTCTTTTCTTGCTTCATACAGCCTGGGAGCAACAGCCATGCTAAACTGGTGGGTTGCCTTGCACAGGCTTAACAAAAGTCGACTTTTCTCATCACTAGATGTGTAAAGGGTAAGTTTTTCATGGCCAGTACGTATTTCAAATTTTTTTCTTTCGAAACTAAGTTTACTTATGCTACTCCATAGAAATATTGAAGGTGGATTATTTTCAGGACAAACCCTCAAGCCTCGAGCGCACACCGCCAAAACCAGGGATCCCGGAGTAGGTTCACTTTTTGAAGCTTTTAACCGGAACACGTGAGCGTTGACCGGTTCCTGTAACTGGCAAGCTTCGTCGATAAATCGCGACCTAGCTTCAGTTTTTGATAATGCCCGGTGCGATCGATGGGCTGTCTCGATAGCCCGTAACGCAGCTGGTCCTCGCATGTTCGGTGGCACGTAATCCTCTGGTCTATAACTGAATATGATCACATTAGATTCAAAATAAATTTCCATCTATCAAACGGAACTTGATACTTGAGAATTGAGTCATTAAACTCATATAAATTTCGTTTTTGACAGGATATGCTAAAGGAAAGAGCATCGCTCCATAGTTTACATGTATGAAGCATGTTCAATTTATAGCACCATAAGAAGAAAGAAAGAATCAGTATACCTGCGAGAATCGAGCGATTGAATTTGTCATATTATATTAAACATCCACCCAGCTATAAACCGTGAAACATGAATTTGAAATGGCAATCAACCCAAGTTTTTGCCAGGACAAGCAGAAGAAAAAAAATAGCACAATGGTTTATATGACTCAACTGAGTTCTATTTATTCTACATGTAGGATAGGAGTTAGAGTGAATAAATATAAGAATAGAGCGATTAAATTTTTCATACATATCAGGTATTTCTTAGTGCGAATACCAGGCCAGTCATACACTTTCAGTGGGCTTTTAATTGAAATTGATGAATGAATAAAGTGAGTTCCAATCATCCCACACGTAGGATAAACGGTGTAGTGGACAAAAAATAAGGACTTTCCAAGACAATCACCGAAGAGCACAACAATAATTGAACAGTGGCCTAGACAACGGATTCCAAATTTCATCACGGAATGTTGAAAGCATCAGATCTTTACAATAGGGTTGATAATAACTTATAGTTAAAGCACACGAGCCCAAAGATAAAGTAAATATAGAAAATTAATGGAACTACGGCTGATGCAGGGCATTCCGTCTCGAGACTACCTCTGATACTATGTAACAAAATAAGTGCAAAAACTATGTAGGCAGTGAAAATGTGTAGTTGGAACATTTGGTAGGTGGGGTGGAACTAGTCCTACATGTACAGGGAGTACATTGATAGTAAAATAGTCATCTAAGATAACTGTTTAGACGAACTTGAGCCTCTAAGAACTTTCCTAAGGTTTTTATCTCCAAATGTTCACAAAATTATTATGGATTTAGTCACTTTCTCCAGGCAATTCAAGAAAACTATCAGAGTAGGTACCTCTACCATTCAAACAGAATCAGCCTTTCGACAGTAGGTATCGTGTTCCTATCTAATTTTCGCTGAGTTTGTTCTCAATCCAGATATTCCAAGCATCAAGCTACGTTTCATGGATAGCAAATGTTTTGAATCTTACCTCGAATTTTCATCGAAGTCCCCCAGATCCGCCTGTAAGGCCAATCCGGCAAGGTGGGCCGCGTGCTCTCCCGACGCCCCTGAGACCGCGTTGAGCCGCAACTGCAAGTAGTAATTGTGTCTAGTGGTCTCATCTCGGAGAAGGAGTGGACTGTCCACGTAAAACTGGACGCGAAAGTAGAAGGCCAAAGCTGGACGTCCGTTCGCATCGAGTCCATGGCTGTGGGATGAGCGCCAACTTTTCGGTGCGTATTTAGATAACTTACTATCTGGTTCGGCAAACAGATATTCACCATCTAGAATGGAAAAATAAAATAGAATGTTTTGATATGCGTTTGTACTTATAATGTATGTAATTATAGAATACTTTAGTAAGACATTACAGCCAAGCCAGAAAAACTTGCAGGCAATGGTTCTTGAAGACGCACAACAATTTTATTTGAAACTTGTGTACTAATACCTATTGGTTTGGGAAATTCTACTTGAAGACATTTCAATGTATCATTTTGCTAATAGAAAACATTGAAATTTGGTTTCAAGGCCAGAATGGGAAGTTTTTTTCAGGGCAGCCCTTCTAACTAATTCGTGCCGTTTGAGTATAGTTTTGAAGACAAAATTTGTTGGCTTAAATTTTCCAAAGGGCCAACTAATCTTCCTTTGAATTTTTCTCAAACTTTTCAAAACCGAAATCAATGGTTTCGTTTTATGCATTCAGCTAGATTTCTTTTGACTTGATATTAGCAACGTTTTTATACAATATATGGAATATAGTACGATCATATAGAAATCAGAAGGTTACAAGGCCTACACAAATATACAATTCAATCGCCAAAGATTTATTCAATAATAATGACGAATAAATTATAAAAACAATTATTGTTTTGCTCTTGATAAATAATATATTGCAACATTATTAAATAAGAAGGAAGAAAACCAGACATTTGCATTTTGGTTTTCCTGCGAGTCTATTGAATGAAACAATGAGCGTAACGTTACACAATGTAAATTGCTGTTCACACCATTTTCAATATAAGGACTAAATGGAAAGTCGGATAAAGTTTTGTTAGTGTGGGTTCTCTTAGTTGTTTTGTATTGGCTTAAGAATACATAATTATAACGTATAGGTATACCATACAGATGGCAAGTTGATGTATGGAAAAGGCGTCTTTGAAATCAGTCATATTTACGCAGATTAACTTTCTCATGTAAAATTTTGCTACTATAAGTGCATTCCATACCAGTTATAAGGTTAGTGTTGCGGAAATGACCCATAACATAGGTTTATAGTTGATATATTATGTACGATAACTTTTAACAATATTTATGGAATTTTATATCTGTTTTTCAAATCAGTATTTTTCTAGTATGAATGAGAGTCCAAGGCAACCCTAAACCGATGGATCAAGATTTATATGATCCAAAATCTATTGGTTCTCTATCGGAATAAAAATTACAAATAGTAATGCAACCAAAGGAATCGCGTTCTTACTCTTGCACAAATAAATATGACGACACTTTCAAAGAAGATTTAGTTCGTCGATAAATTCATCAAAAGAACAAAAAATCTCCATGTAAAATTTACTTACTGCAAAACTATTAAAAGTCAATTTATTGGAGAACAAATTTGCGGCGTATTCTATTTCGTCAGGGATTTTCTCATAGATAAATAGATACGAGAAAAATAATAATGGAATCAAAATTTTGTCCAAATAAGCTCTGGGTAATTAGTTACTTCAACCAGACAAGGCACTTTCTACAGAGCATGAAAACTTATAGCCAGATAATTGCTATAAGAGCTAAAGCCAGACGAAACATTTGCAATGTGGTAAGAAGGGGGCTCTGTGAAGTAGGCGGTACACTTGAAGCACAAAAGTTAAATTTTGCGTTATCGTTTAGTGCTTCGTTAGTGCTTCAATTCCAAAATTAGCAACTCTTGTATTTTCGGAGATATTTCGGATTTTAGGACTCGCCTGCTAACTTCACTTCCAGCAGGAACAAGGAAAGTAGCAACGTTCAATTACAGAAGAATGGTTAGTGCTTCAATGTGCTTGAAGAAAAAAAGAAGTTTGAAGAATAATATTGGGTCGCTTATGAGACTGATGAAGAAAACTACCACTGAAAGATCTATCGCGCTTTTTAAAGACTTATGTTTGTTGGTCTGCAATTATGAGGCCAATATTTGAATATGGGAACAGCACAGAATCATCGTCAATCGTCGAGAGTTATTTCAATGATCTGAAACATAGAACATTGAAAAACCAGACTACGTCAGAATATGAAGAATCGGAAGTATCTCTAAAGCTTGACGTCAAGAAAGAGGATAAAAGCCAATTCATTACTGCTAAGTTTGTTTTTCTTCCTTAAGGAATTTTTGAAATATGGAGCAATCTCTCGAATTAATCAGTTAAGAGCTGAACAGAATAACGATCTTCAAAAAACTACTTTATCAATATCGGTAACGTGACTGACTGCTTTATTGATAGTTACACATTTATTCTTAACAATAAATGCCTTTCTCCTGAATGTGACTATTTCAAAGAGCAGAAAGTGACATTATTTGTCTTGGACTTGGAATTTGAATCGATCCAGAAGATACACGGAGAAGAGTTCCAAAATTTAGAAGTGTTAATAGATTATCAAATTGAGAAGATGGAAAGGAAAGTGAAGACATGCTCAAATATAGTCAAAAAATGGATCAACGTGGGTTCTATGTTGATTTTGGACACAAACAATTGTGGTACTTCGGTAGTGGAACTCATTCCAGTTGTTCTCAATCTTTGCGAGAAGGCTTACATCCTAAGAAGTGTTGGACATTTCATGGAGCCAGCTGTCCTTTATGGTGTGTGGCATTATGTTTGTCACAGCCGACGTCTCGATGCATTGTTGGAGTCTTTTGACGATCGAGAAAAACAACACAGAACGGTTTCATCCACAGAACAGCTTCCATTTTTCCATTTTCAGCCGTTTTCTATCCTTAGGATATAGGCCTCTTTCAAATTTGACCATTGTCTTCGGTTTTGCGCAACTCGGTACCAATTCAAGCCTGCAACCCTCTTTATATCGTCGTACCATCTTTGTTGGGGTCTTCCAACACTTCTCCTCTCTTCCCAAGGTCTCCATCTAGTGATATACCCGCTCCAGTTTTCTGTATGTCTGGCCACGTGTCCTGCCCATTGCCATTTTAGGGAACTAATTCTTTTTATTATGTCGCAGACTTTGGTTCTTTCCTATTCCTAAAATTCGTCTTTCAATGGCTCTCTGATGTACTTCCAATTTGTGTTTAATTCTTCTGGTTATCACCCAGGTCTCGCAGCCATACGTGACAACAGGCAGTATACACTCGTTATAGACTTTTGATTTTAAAGTCATTGGAATATTCGTGCTGAAGATGTACTTTAACTTGCCGTAAGCCGCCCATCCCAGACTAATTCTCCTATCAATTTCCATTTCTTGATTTTGTTTGCCCGGTGTTATAGCTTGGCCAAGGTATATGTATGTTTCTGTCTTTTTTATTGTGCTGTCATGGATCGGTATTCTTTCGTCTGCATCTGGTGTATTTGTAATAAACTGGGTCTTTGTGTAGTTCATGTGTAATCCTACTTTTGCCGCCTCATCTTGTAGTTCTTCCAACATATCTGTCAATTCCTGTTTGTCTCTCGCGAACAGTACAATATCGTCGGCAAATCTTAGATTGTGCAGGCGTTCACCATGTATGTTCAATCCTTTGTTTTCCCATTGTAGCTTTTTAAAAATATCCTCGAGCACTAAAGTGAATAGTTTTGGAGATATTACGTCCCCTTGCCGAACTCCTCTTTTGGCGTTTATTCTGTCAGATGATTCATGAAGTCTTATCGACATTGTCGAAGTCTTATAGATGTTTTCAATGAGGTTTATATATAACGTTGATCCACTCTGGCATTTCTCAAGGATTTTATTATTGCCCAGATTTCCACTGTGTCGAAGGCTTTCCGGAAATCGACAAAAGCCATCCATAGGTTTATATTATATTCTGTAGCTTTCTCGATCATCTGCCTTACTGTGTGTAGATGTTCTGTCGTGCTATAATGGCTTCGGAATCCAGCCTGTTCCTTTGGTTGGTGAACTTCGAGTTTTCGCTCTAATCTGTTGGTGATTATTCTGGTGAATAATTTATATATTTGTGATAGTAAGCTTATCGGCCGGTAGTTTTCGAGATCAGTCGGGTCACCTTTCTTGTAGATCAGAACAACTACAGCATTCTCCCAATCTTTGGGTATATGTTCTTCTGTTAGGCACTTATTGAATAGTTTCACTAGTTCTTGTCTCGTCTTAGTATCGCTTTCCTTGAGCATTTCAGGCAGAATGTTGTCTTCTCCTGCCGCTTTGCCATTTTTCATCTGGGATAACCCTTTCTCCAGTTCTTCCATATTTATGTCGGGCATTTCTTCTGAGTTTGCATTTACTATTCGTATTTTGTCTTCCCTTGTCCTTGTGTTTGCTATTTTAGATTCGTACAGATCTCTATAGAAAGATTCCACAACTTTTAGTATCTGTTGTCTGTCTTCTACTATGTTGTTTTTCGCATCTTTTATTTTGGTTATCTCTTTCTTAGATGTGTTATGTCTTTTAAATATATTTAGTCCTTTGTTCTGTTCTAATAGGGATTGCACTAGTTTCGTTTGATGTTTTAGTATATCCTGTTTCGCCATTTTTCTTGCTGTTTTGTTCGTTTCTGTGTATTCAATAGTGTCTCTTTTACCCTCGGTTATCAGTTTTCTCCTTTTCTCTAGTAGCTGTTTCGTTTCTATCGACAGTTTGTCCGGCGTTTTCTCTAGGGGGCCTATTATCTGTTCTGCTGTTTCTGTTATAATTGTTGTTATTCTCCTATTGTTATCATCTAATGACTCTTCTGTTTTTCCTGGATTGTTGGAAAAGTTTTCTTTCAGCCTTTGTTTGTATGTTTCCCTTCTTTCTGCTATCTTTTCTCTACTTCCTCTCTTCGCAGAACAGCTTGGATCACATTTAATAGTTTACACTTTGTATTATTTGTTTTGTTTTTGTTCCAATATTTTAATGAATTATTTTCTCGTTTTCATTTGAAATTAATATTGTTATTTTTTTAAATACAATTATGATATTTTTAATACCCATTTAGAATAATGTCATCCTTATTTATCCATCACGAATCAGATGAAACAACAAATTACCAACAAAAACGAACGTCGATTGCTAATACGTCAATTTCCTGTACAAATAGGAAATTCCTAACCTCATTTTATTTGTGTGTTCAAGAAGCGACATACGTTAAGTCACTAGA